TTTTTTTCTCCCTCCTAGCAATGCAAATCCCTTTTTCGAGATAAAACTATTTTTATAAAATGAAATTGTAATTTCTTCTTCCACTTTTCTCGAAGGAGAAAAAAAACTTTAGATAGAAGAAAAAAATTCGTTATATTTACCAGAAAAAAAAGAAAAAAAACAACAAGGAGAATAATAAATAGAATTTATTTTTCAAAAAGATACAAAAATGAAGTAACGAGTGGTAAGAACATTTACAATTATAATCATACGAAGAATAAATCAACTTGGAAGGAAATTTGTTCGCGTAGAGAAATGTTGAAGATAATCGAAGAAGAAAAAGAAAAACATCGAAAAGGGAGATAGTTGACTACTTGTATAAAACCCCCTTTAACACTTTCAAAGGAATGACAGTATTGCAAATAAGAGAAAGAAAGAGAAAGAAAGAGAAAGAGAGAAATAGAGTTGGGTGTATCTGAGGATTTTTATGACTAGTACCTGTTTTCAAAAAGAAACTCGAAGGTACATCGTGAGCCGTCCCTGAGAGTAGGTGGAAAATAACGAGGGAGGAACAAAAAAAAAAAAAAAAAGAAAGCTCGTCCCTTTGATCAAATTAATCGAAGAAGGGACAAAATCAAGAAAACAAACTTTAACATTTATCCAATTATCTAATTAATGAATTTTTCTTGTATTTTATTTTTTAAACATAAAAACAATAATTTGAGTTAGTTAATTAGAATAGATCATTTTAATAATAGGTTATGTGTTGTTTCCGACATTTTTTTTGTTTTTTTTTTTTTTCTATAAGATGGTTTTTTTATGGAAGCTAAGTTGTACAACTTTAATATTAAATAATATAATATAATATTATACATAATCAATTTGAAGTTATTTAATTATAATAGAAGTTTAATACTTGTGTTATATGTGTATATGTGTATATGTAGTAGATGCATCGAGAGAGTATTATTTTCCCTTCATGAAAGCGTGCACAGGTTCCCATATCTAATGGCCGGCCGTCTCTGAAGCTTCCCGGAAACTAACGTACTTTGGTTAGGTGAGGTGAGGGGGTGAGGTGAGGGGTGGGGGAAAAGCATGAGAGAATCAGAACAATGATATTACCATCAACGAGAGACTCTTTTACTATGGCGGAAGAGAACGTTTCCTCTTCGTTTCTTGTTCCAAAAGAAAATGGAACCCTTTTTTCTTTCTATTCTTTTTATTTTCCCTCCCATTTTCTTTTTCAACTACCAAATCCAAACTATAATATCCTCCATCATTATATCACTGACTTTTGATCTTTTTTCCATTTTGTTGTTCAAACATTGAGAATAAAGTGAAATCTCGTATTCCTTTTTAATAAAAACTCAAACTATTTTTCACCTCCATCTCTATTTTATATAGAATTTTTATATTTGATATATTATATTGTTATTTCGTGTTAGGATTTTTTCAATTTTCTTTCGACATTGATAAGCTTTAGGATAAATTTTCACCCTATGGATTATATTTTATTCATTTAGATGGCGAGTATCGAAGTATCCCTTTCAACAACACCGAGAAGAAAGAAGGGTGGTAGTTTAGCTGGTGGGGTGGTAACATCATCCCTCGGTCACCGTAATAAAGATCATTACAAAGAACTCGACGCCCTTCGTATAGCCCTTCGCGATAAGGAAAATATTATACAGACGTAAGTGGATTTACTTTTTTCTTCTTTCATCTTCCTCCTTTCCTATCCAACATATTTTTATTGGGTATCCTTTCTATCCCTCATATCCGCTTTTCTTTTCTTCTTGTTGGGTGTTTTTTTTTATAGGTTGAAGGGTCAATTGTGCAATAGCTTGAGCAACCGACTAGCATTGCGAAATGGTGCTGCACCACCCTTAACAGAGGCTGACAGAAAAGCTACTGAGGAAAGACTTCAAAGGTTGAGACGTGACGCGGACAACAAGAGATTGGCTATAAAAAATCTCAAACTTGCTTTGGAACGTTTAGACATAACCGAGTAAGATGAACTTTTTCTTTAACACTTTCATTGTCACGATTTTGCGCTTTTTATTACACAAGTATACTTTCATTTTCCAATAAAACAATTGAAAATAATTGGATTGTAATACAACGTCATCTATTGATGAACGCTTACAAGAACTAGAAACTTAGACTTCACTTTTCATTTCAAAGTATATTCAAATTAGTTGTCATTTTCAAATATAAATGTTCATATGTAAACAATCATGACAAACAAAGTGTATAAAACCATTTCATACATTTTCAATATACTTGAAAAGTTGAACGAACGAGAAATAGAAGAGGTGTCTGAAGTTTTAAACGACAAAACAACCAAGTAAAAAGTTCATTCCATTGAAATAGGTTTTTTTTTTCTCGCTCTTATGACTATTTCAGTAACATCGACGTTCGTATACAACAAGCAGAATTGGAGTACAGACTAGGTCGCGAAGAATTGGAGCTTTTGACATTACGGGAAGAGAGCAGGGCACTTCAAACGGCCTTGGAATTGGCAGAAACCCAAGAGAAACGGAAAAATGATACCATATATAGGTTAGTTCTATTCTTTTCCATCATTTCTACATTTATCTTTCTATGATTTATATCCAACTACTTATTTATATCTTTATTTTACATTTTTACACTGTGAGAAAACAAAACAAAAAATAAGCGAATTTAGATTTAGGTTTTACGTACCATTACAAATTTGTATTAGTCACGGTTGTTACAAAAAATTGATACAAATCTTACGACGTTAGTTGCATTTCCGGGTCAACGCAAGTCACCGTGCATGCCGTCGAAATTAGTGCAGATCCAAAGAGTCCTCGTTTCGGTGCTGGACCAAGAGACGAGATGCCTGGTCTTTACGTTGATTGGGCCATCGAAGATTCTGGTCTTTGCAAAGGTGACAGGTAGGATTTTTATAATCAATTACCTTTCATTATTTCATTATCTGTTCGTAAATAATTGAACAATAACAATGAATAGCGGTATTACAAATGTTAACGGTACATCTCTCAATGACTGAAAATCCACGAATAAGAAGACACAAAGTTAGGAAAAATAGTTTAAAAAATCAACTTACAATTAAGTCCATTGTTAAGTGCATATAATACAAGGAAGAAAGAAGGTGTTAATGAAGCTTGGGATATTTGCATCTATGAGAAAATTTATACGATGATCTATTAATCATTGTTATAAACTTTCCAATTTTTCATTCGAGTTATGCATTCATAGGAATTTTCATTCATTTATAATTTAACATATTTTATTTCCTTCATATAATAATGATAATATATTCCGTATATAATTAGTATACTTCCTTGGCACAATTTATGTTTCGCGGATGTAAGTGGAAATGAAAGAAAAGGTTGTTCAACACGAATACTTTTGTTCGTCAAGTAAATTCCAATAATTATTTTCAAAGGTAGCAGCACTTGATTTGTAAAAAATATATCGCATTTTAAGTGAACAATTACACAAGATGCTCTAACGTACTACGAGAGTATAATAAACTTAGGACAATATGGTTTAGGTTTAGCTCGGATGACCTCGATTAGAAATTTCGTCGATGATTCGGCCAATTTGAAAGAATAAAAGGCATGATGGGAATATGTGATAACGCGTCCTAACGCTATTTGCAAAAGATCCCCTAGTGATAAACATTTACTTGTTTGTTTAGTTTTACAGTTGATTGAAAAATCTTCTAATCGATATCACGCGTATGATTATATTTAAACAATAGAACATTAGAATAATAAATTAATTATAAAATTGGCAAGCTCTGGTATGTGTAATAGGTTAACGTGAGTCACGTGTGTTAAAATCACGGTGACCGCTTAAATAGAAGCATAGCAGTATAGTTGGAACGTACTATAGCTACGGGTTTTAACCCGTTTTATGGATATCGTGGTTAAACAATAGCACGATCTTGGTACTGGGTTCCCAACGAACGAGTAGTAAAGTACATCGAAATCACCGGAAGTTCGCATGGTGCCCCCGCTAATTGTACCTCCGTCTTTTACACGACCCTGTCCCTTTTTTTTCTCTTTCTTTTTCCTGACTCTATTCACCTGCCCCTTTTCCCCCTGTCAGAGTTCTCTTGACTTTTTTTCTTTTTTTTTTTTTTTTTATCCGAGAACTTTGTCGAGAAAATATGAGTTGATTCAACATCGTTAAAAAGAAATTCTTTCGTCAAGCTGTATGATTTTAATGTGCTTGAGTAACATTACGTTGATAAGCATGATAATACCTGTCAGTTTAAAATGTAGACAAACGTAATGAAATATCTTCTGCTATATATTTAAAAATTCAGTGTCAAAACTAAGTGAAACCTACTGAACTAAGTTTCTAGGTTCTGTAATTTTTCAATAGATGGTATTGTATGACAATTCAATTATTTTTCAGATTTTTTTTCTTCAGATTTATATATAACAAAACTAACCCCTTTGCTTTTTGTGTGTTATTATAGTTGAATAATTTCGAATTATATTAAATCCAAATTTGATAACAAAACCACATCAACGCTTGAACAATGCATCCTAGTAAGTTAATATTAGTAAAAAAAACGTTTTGTGATATCGATACTTTGCTGCCATATTGAAACATTAAATTCTTCAGTGTATATATATATATATAACTACTAAGGGGTATACTAATAAGGTCGTTTCAACTAACTTCGTTCGTAGGATACTCGAGGTGAACGGGAAACTCGTTGTAGGAGCTAGTAAAAACGATTTGACGAGACTGTTAGCTGTTGCACCCGACGCAGCACAAATCGTAGTATTACGAAAAGGTGAATCACTTGCTGCATTACGTACACTTAGATCTGATAATTTAAGACTCACACATAGAATTGGATATCTCGAGGAACAAGTGAGAGATCTGTTGGCACCAACCAGAACCGAATTAAGTTCAACGGATTTGTCATTGGCTGGTCAAGAACACGTTCAGGTAGATTTCATTTCTTTCAACAGTAAGAAACCCCCAACTCTTCGTTAAATTGTATTATTTTGTAGGTTTTTCAAAAAGGTCCTCAGGTAACTACCCTAGTCGCAAATTTAACCAGTCCTAAGGTCAGAAATCCGACAGATTTGAGACAAAGTTTACCAAGCATGCGTGGCAGACAAAACGATCATGGTAGATCATCATCACACTTTGTTACATCGAGAAGTCCTAAAGAAAATGATTTCTTTTCCGACGGTGTTTCTTACGGTGGTCATCAGAAGCCGAGAAATCGGCAAAAACATCAAGCATTTCCATTAGGTAGATCCACGGTTAGTTTGGATTGCAAACAAATGCAATCTCAATTGCAACGTAGAAGATTGGCAACTACCATGGAATCGAGAATGGAAAGTAGGAAGAGTCAACAATTGCAGACATTGGAATTTGATTCCGAACCTACTTATTATCGTCAGGTATTTAACGACTCATTGTAATATTTGAAAATAAATCAGTATAATTCGAATCTAAATACTCGTTTAGGATTCTCAATCGCGAGTATCGGAAAATTCGGAAATTCTCAGCACGTACAGTTCACAAGAAACTAAAATCCGGCCGGCACCACCTAAAAAACCATTGAGACTTTCTCTTCATCGTGCTGCTAGTCTTCAGTCGGTTGAAAGTGCACCGCCTGCGGCAACGACGACCCTTCACGAGAGCACTCGTAAATCATCCAAGAGGAACCATCGTGGTGAACCCTATTCCTCTTTGGAAAAGGGCTCGACGACGAACGAAGGAAACCAAGATGCAAACCACAGAATACAGGAAATGTTGCAACACGATCTTTCTTCGCAGCAGCAGCAGCAGCAACCACCAACACCACCAACACCAAGGACACCTTCCAGAGCGGAATCTTGCCAGAATGCTTTGCGGTGGCCTTCGCCAAAACCGAGATCACATTTGGCTTCCGTATCTACGGAAAAGTGGTGTTGAGTGTTGTTATTTCACATCGAACAAAAACTCTTCAATACTCGAGAACTCTACTCATTTTGTGTGTGTGTGTGTGTGAATCTGACGTTCACATATTTACAACAAATAATAAAATATTATATTTCATCGATTTGTATAGAATCGTGACGAATAGTGATATTTTTTTTACATGTTAATGAAAAATTATTGATAAACTCTTTTATATTCGTATCCCCCATGTTAATTATTTGAATATAGTCAATGTAGAAAAATCAACATAATCAGGTATAGTATTATGCAACAGTCATTTTATAATATAAATCGAATAACAAGTATTTTGTACAGATAATATATTTTATTATTCGTATAATAGATATTTCAATGTTAAAAAGTCATTGCAAGTGTTTGTAATATAAAATATGAATGCTCGAAGAAAGAAGAAAAATAAGAGCAATTTGAAATCACATGAAAGAGTAATTTTTAGTAATAATATATATATGCAGGTATAAAAACGTAACGAGCTTAAGCAGGTGGCTCCGTACGGTGAGTTTTCCGAATACTTCTTCTTCGCTATACGTACTTTTATCTATATACATATATATTGCATATGCATGTACATAAGATATAGAAGATTGTATTTGCCTAACTCTCAACTCTCAGGAGAAAATCATCACTACCACCACTAGCATCAGTATACAGAAGATTGTATTCGTTTATCAGGAGAAAATCGTCAGACTACTAGCACCAATATAAATAGTAATACCAACCACCACTACTAGCATAAATAGCAGTAACACCTATACCTATGAGTATTGGCACCAATACTAGCTTCAATCCAACTCCAAGCAGCAACCACTACTACTAGGATCAACACCAATATCAGTATAAATAGTAATGCTAGCAAACTACCACCACTAGAAGACTGCTGGTACCCCATCTAGCAGCAGCAGCAGCAGCAGCAGCAGCAGCAGCAGAAACAAGGAGAGGAAGGGCGGGTTATGCCAGGCAGAATCTTCATCCCTCTGCCGTGTTCTACCCCTTCTCTCTGACATTTTAGTTGTCGACTCGCCCCTCTACTACACACGTACGGCAACCCCGGCGTTCAGTGCTTGCTGGCGCTTCCTTCGTACAAGCCGTGTTGTTGCGAATTCCGGACCACCAGCTTCTTCTATCCGTCAATCATTTTCTCTCTCTCTTTTTGTCTATTCTATTCGGAGTCGGTGTCAGTGGTGTACGTGCGTGCGTGCGTGTGTGTGTTTGTTTGTGTGCTTTTTTTTCCCTCTAGTGGAATATTATTATTTTTTGCTTTCAAATATTTTACCACCTTTTTCTCTTTGTATTTTTTTGTCAGCAAAAAAGAAGAAAAGAAAGGAGTAGCAACGGTCACGTCGAACCAATGATTCATCGTATTTCCTATCTCTTTTTTGGATTTTTTTGGGAATTTTTTGTCTCTTTGTTGTAATCCTTTCAACATTAACGAGCTGTCTCTTTCCTCTCTTCTTTCCGTTCTTCCACCCCTCGATCTTCTTCAAGCTTTTCTACTTCTTGGATCTGTAGGAATCGTTAACGACGAGGACCCTGCTACTCTTCTATTTTTTTTCTTTTCTTTTTTCTTGAATATAAACGTCCTCTTACATTTTCAACACCAATTTTCTTTTTTCTGTTTTTTCTTTCTTTCTTTCTTTCTTTCTTTCTTTCTTTCCTTTTTATCTGAATTTTTGTTCTTATGAGATTCTTCGATGTTCGTCGTATATTATAGAAAAAAACAAACAACAAGAATCATCAGGAATATCATGGTCAACATCTTGAAAATAACCAAAGGTGAGGCATTTTTTTTATTTAATTTTAATTTGTTGTTGTTGTTTTGTTTCGTTCGTTAAACCCATTTGTTTATTAACGTTAATTTAACATTAATCTAGTTAGGAGCAACACGTTACTGTAAGATTTATCTCATCGTTTTTCTTCTAATGAAGTTCCTTTTCCGTGCCCTTCAAAATGACCCTAACAATTTTTCTTACTTTAGGAATGGAAAGTTTCGCCAAGTCGTTTCGCAACTTCTTCTTCTTCTTTATTATACGTTTCGTTTTATATTTATTATTTCTTTTTTCTTCATCTTCTTATATTACCAACCGTACAAAAATTGCAAGTTTTGACAAAGTTTATTCTCATAAAAAAGAAACACACAAAAAAAAAAAAAAGAAAAATAAAATGTAACTTTATATACCTGCGTATTTTGATTACAAAAAATGTGACAATATTCATCCTAGTTGGGGGTTTTTTTTTCTTTGTTTTTGTTATTTTGATAGATTTGTTTGATTCTATGTAGATTCGAGTTGAATTGATATCATTCGAATGGTTGAACACAATTGCGAGTTTCTTTTCTTGATCACGAGTTAAAATACGATTTTCCAAGCAATATAAAACGTACACACGACGACTCTTATCTATCGTTTAGGTACTTTTACGATATCGTAACATCATAATGTGATTTTTATAGATGTCGCGTAGTAAACTGTAAAACGATTTTCAAAGAAGCTTCATAACAAATCTACCAAACAGTTAGTTAAATAAAAAGATACATTTCTATCATCGATTTTCCTATTTCTATTTGGAAGATTTTTTTTGTGTGTGTGTGTTTTTTTTGAGATATTATTTTGTATAGAAAGAATTGCTCTAGTTATATAATATTTCATCAATTTATATAACACATTGTAGTGTTATATAAATTAAAATTAATAATATATATATATATAAATTATTGATTAAATATTGTTAAAAGAATTCTATATTATACTTAAACAAATTGTCAATAGAATCAAATCAAATTGTAAATCGATGCAATGATATTTCTAAAGATGATTTTCATATAGATTTTGCAGTAAACTGTAAAACGATTCAAAAGAGAAAACTTTGATGTAACTTATTTTTCTTACTTTTAATTATAAAGCCACGAAATTGCCGTAGATTTTTTTTTTCTTTACTCCTTTCAACGAATTCGTGGTTTTTTTTTCGTTTTTTTTTTTTTCTAGAATAAACTTTTTATCGAATCTCGGTGAATTTCTTTTCTGCTTTTCTACGATCCATTTGCTTTTCCTAACCGACTTCTATATATATATACGTGTATGGTTTATTTATGTATTTATAGAAATCTCCAATATGTACATGGTATTAGTGGAAAAAAAAAAGAAAAGATAGAAAAGCATGTAATCTCGTTTCATTTATTTACAGTAAATACATGCATTTAAATGCTTAAATAAATATAATATTTTGTTATATGTACAAGGAGAATTTTGAAATAGGATTAAGTTGATTAACAGTACGTGATTTGATATTTTTGAAAAAAAAAAAAAAAAGAATGCTCTACTGCAATGGTCAAATTAATGGTAAAACACGTTTAATGGATTTAGATACGTATAGAAATCATAAACAATGAGATTTAATAATTACATGATAATTTATAAATGATTATATTAATTACAGAAATAATATGAGGTTAGATTAAAAAGAAATTACTGCAGTGGTCAAATTAATGTTTGAATATGTTTAATGCATAAAGATACGAATAGAAAACATAATAAATGATGAGATTTAAAAATGAAATGATATCCGGAATAATAACAGAAATAATATGACAAGAGAGAGAGAGAGAGAGAGAGAGAGAGAGAGAGAGAGAGAGATAGAAATTACAAAAAATCACATTAAATCAAAATGTACTTTTTCTCTCTCTCTTTTATATTTTTTCTTTTTCCATCCTTTTGCTTTTACTTTTCCCCATGTGGTTAGAATTTTCTTTTTGCCCCTTTTTTTTTATCTTTTTTTTTTACCTTTTATTTTTTCTTCTTTTTATCTCAGAGAAAAAATATTTCTCCTATATCGACTGTATATATATATATATATATATATATATATACATGAAAGTAAAATACAGTAAATTCTTTCACGCTTTTTTTCGTAATCGTAATACGCAATTTATTTTTGTCTTTTGCAATTGATATTCTTTTAAATGTTAGATAGACACGCGATAGAAACACGATTTACACGAGATATTCTTTATATTTATTATTACCAACGTAAAAAAAAAAAAAAGAAAACAACAACTTTTCAACGATCGAATCATACGCAATTATGCGGTTTTCTTTTGTAAAATTGTGCCAATCAACGATGATTCACTTTTAATTTGTTTCTTCCTTTTATTCTTTAACTTTCTTTCTTTCTTTCATTATTAATTGAAGGACGAATCGATTTTACATATACAAATCACGAGATACAGTTTATTCATATGTTATTAAATTATTAAACTATTGACAACATTATTTTTACAAAGTTAATTAATTAATTTCAACAAAAATATGATTAGCAAGTTTAAATATCAGGTTTGCAGTGTTTTAAGATTTATATTTTATTTTATTTTGTTTTATCAAAGTTTTCATTGAATTATTATACATGAACTGTCTGCAAATTTAGTGTTAATCATCTAACTGTAATAAAATAAGGAAATTTGTTCATTTTTCGATTAACAAGCAAAGGAAAACAGAAAGAATTAATCATTGATAGATCATTTTGTTTGTGTGTGTATTCATTTTTACAGTATGAGTTATAATGATTGAATTAGATATATTTTGTCACTTGATAAAAGTCAATGTACTATCTAATTCAAATGGTATATCAGAACGTTGCACTTGTGTTGGTATAAGACGTTAATTGAATCGTTTGGTTCTTGTCAGACATTCAAGAATAGCATTTGATCCATGAATACTTTCTGAGTCATACGTCCCTCCCTCATTCCTCTACTCTTCCTTCTTTGCTACATATCAATGTAGAAAGTGTGTTTGTGTATGTTTCTAACATTTACCAATTATCATTTGCTAGAGTGTTGAATATTTTTCGATAATTTTCCAATTACCGTGGAATAATATCACCTGAACAATAATGGAAGAAAACATTCAGTAAAGTATATTAAAACAAATCGATATTTTATTCGACGTGTGTTTGTTTTACTTGTTAGAAAGAAAAGAAATGCCAAAAGGGTAGAAGAGAAGTCAAATGAAATGAAATTTTATTATATATTCGTTCATCGTTGTCACTATTTTTTTATTGATGATACAAACAAGAAAGAAAAGAAAAAAAACCATTACAACGAATTATTATTATCATAATTATTATTGTTGTATCTTTTTCTTTCTCTTTGTTGCGATCTCATTTTTCTCTCTTTCTTATTATTTCTTTTTATTTTATTAAGTCTTTATCTTTATACGAGTAAAAAGCTTCGTAAAAAGCTTCGTAAAAAGTTCTCGAGATATTATAGTAATCACGATCGATAGTAATAAAAGTCGTCCTTGAGAACTTCTCGTTAGAGATAATGCACAGGAAAAAAGGGTTGAAGTTCATCGCGGAAAATAACATTTGATATTACCAAATGCTTAAAAAGAATATAATAGTTTTAACGAAACATTTTACTCTTCGATATTTCATCATGCAAACGAGAGATAAAGAGAAAGTATACGTCAATTATTAATCTAATGTTTTATTGTTGAAATATAATCATACGCGTAATATCGAGTAGAAGATTTTTCAATCAACTGTAAAACTAAACAAACAAGTAAATGTTTATCACTAGGGGATCTTTTGCAAATAGCGTTGGATGCGTTATCACATATTTCCATCATGCCTTTTATTCTTTCAAATTGACCGAATCATCGACGAAATTTCTAATCGAGGTCATCCGAGCTAAACCTAAACCATATTGTCCTAAGTTTATTATACTCTCGTAGTACGTTAGAGCATCTTGTGTAATTGTTCACTTAAAATGCGATATATTTTTTACAAATCAAGTGCTGCTACCTTTGAAAATAATTATTGGAATTAACTTGGTAAACAATGTGGGTAGACCACTGTCTATAATTAAAAGCAAAAAAAAAAAAAAGAAAAGCAGGTCACCCCAAGTGATGAAAAGTGTGGTCCAGCCCTGGTTTAGTCAGGTTTAGTCAGGTTTAGTCAGGTTTACATGGTTTCCACACTCTCAGACAGCTAAATGTGCTAGCGGGATAAACAAACGCAGCTCGTTAACATTGAATGCACCTCTTTCTCTTTCTCTCTTAGTTTCCCAAATGGTTCCAATCTAAATTTGGATCGTTCGCTGAGTCCTAAACTCTACGAGCTTTCCTATTGGTTATCGACGATTCCTTGTCGTTGCTTGCTGCAACAGACCGTTTGCATTTTAACGATACCAATTTCTTTACCATAATACCGTTTCAATGTATATTTACTCATAAACTTTAGATAATTTACGTGCTACGGTTCTAAACACGGTATTATCTTTCATTTTCAAGAACCAAATTTACATACGTGTGTGTGTGTGTGTGTGTGTGTGTGTGTGCAAATGTGTATGTTGGGGTTTAAAAAACATTTTAGAAAGACATTTACGAGCAACTTTACGATTAAACAAAATTCTAAGGTTTTTATTTACCTTACTTTACCTTATTTCAATTAATTTAACAATTTATTATTATTTATTAGGATAAATATGGGTTTAAATATCGTATTAATAGATAAAGATCAGTTGGAAAGTTTCCCCTAATTATTGTTTTGAGACCTGGATTTAGCCCATAAGCTCAGCAACAAACCCCGTACAACCCCCGTGCAAGCAACTTGGCCGGTGAACTGACGCGTGCGCGTTTTCTTCAACGCATAGTAAACAGTAGAAGAAAAATGGAAGGTGAAAATCAACCAACCTAATGCGCATTCGCAACACACGGGATAGGCTTTGTCTCCCTTTTTTATCACCCCCTCAACTTATCACTTCAAATTGATACACGTTTTATTGAATAACTCTTTCTTTTTTTTTTGTACAATGATTATAAAAAGTGATTACTTTGAATAGATTTCATTATGCATCAGATTGTGTTCATCATAATAAACATAAAGTATATTGATAATATTAAATGAATATTTCCAAAGTAATTGTTTCAAAAGATAATGGTCCATTTAACTCTGATTCTGACTCTGACTCTAACTGACTGAATCTAGCTCAGACTCTGACTCTAACTCTACCTCTGATTCTTACTCTGTCTCTGACTGACTGACTCTGACTCTTACTAACTGACACTGACTCTGATTGACCGAATCTAACTCAGACTCTGACTCTAACTCTGATTCTTACTCTGTCCCTGACTGACTGACTCTGACACTGACTCTTACTAACTGATACTGACTCTGACAATCTCATCATTATTATATACAATCACATCTTCATTATGATTCATTAGAAAGAACTTAAACTATATTAATAAGACTAATAGTATTTATACTTCTTTGTAAAAAGATTGAAAAAAGTGATTACTTGGAATATGTTTTAATATAACATATATATATACTTGTAGATATACCTTTTGTCAATGACGTAGACTGGCCTAGATGTCGCACGCCATTTATACACGTATATATAACTACTCAACGAATGGGCGAGGTCGTACACTTGGAGAGAACGTGGAATATTGCTTCGATACATGTCCTACTGATGTTCTTACACCGATATAATGCTTCAACCTCATGCTCACATGTTCTTCCAACAAAGTAAAATCGATATCAACGTGTTGTTTCCCCATATGTTTTCCCCTGTAAATGCATGCTCACAATCAGAATAAATGTAATCCTCTTTCAAGCAAGTGACATGATTAATTATTCTTATAAAAACAAACCGAACAATGTTAGATTCTATTTTCTATACACATCTATCTATTTTTATCTTTCTTTTCAAATAATAACGTTGAAATAAAACATTGATACATTTCATTATCTTCTTTTCACATTCTCAGTTACATCTGATAGTTTGTGTGTGTGTTTGCTAGCTTCTTTTTTCTTTCTTTTTATCTATCAGTTATCGACCAGTAACCTTTAATACTTTAGATATCTTCATTTTTAACGTATATGTTGAAACTATACTGCCAACCCTTCGTAATACTTTATTTCCGATATCCTACACTTTTTTTTTTTTTTAAGCAATAAAATAAGAGAGCGAGTAGTTCTGCCTAACGACAAAGTGGCTGCAGATTTTTTTTTCTCTTTTTTCTTTTTCTTTCTTTATCAAGCTAACTTTTAGTTCACTGATATCGGATTTTGACGCGATCTTTCGCCCGATATTTCATCCTACGTATAAAACCCCGTCGTTGTTGTATAAAGCGTCAAAGCTGCTCTTAGCTTTTATTTCCTTTTTTATTAAATAAAAAAAAAAATAAAAAAGAAAAATAACAATAGGGTAGGTAGAAGTTAGTAGAGAGTGATATTTCAAAGTTAACCCTATTGGGACCTATTCGCATAATCGTCGTATACGACATTTTTCAACGAAATTGGATAAACTTTTTATAGAATAAACAAAAAGTTTAACTAGACTATTTGAATATTTCCATACGAATTTAATAAACAATCTTTTAGTTATGGGGTAAGGAAGGGATGTTTATCGAATTGACAATGAAATGCAGTATTACTTTCGTCGAGTTAAAAGGAAGGAAGGAAGGAAGGAAGGAAGGAAGGAAGGAAAATAAATTGGCATTGCAAACACGTTAAGTTAAACGACGAAGGGTGAAATAGTACCTACCTGAGAACACCGATGTTGCTTCGGGTTGATGTGACGTCAACTACGGACAAACGTGTACGATATGGCGAACTAGGGCAGTGCGAGTGACGGCATGTCGTTGAAATTTGGTACAACATCCCGAACCTATTTCAAATCACTTACACAAATCACTAAAGGGGGATGACAATTCATTAGCGAATAGAATTAATAATATAATTGGCTATAATAGGGCTAGGGTATCTATTTCATAATGTTTGCAGTAATTAAAGATAATGTGGTCCCTCTTTAGAATAATATTCATTTATTAGTTCAAATGTTAATGTTTACTTTCGATCAATTAGCGTACCATTATTGTTACTCTATTCAAAATAATCATTTATTTCAATGTATAAATGAGTTTGAATCGATCCAACTTGTACAATTGTTTGTACACTCACCAATACACTTATTTATTGTATCAATATAAAATAATAATTTATTTAAAAATGGTAGTGTGTTCGAATCGATGTAATTGTCAAGGCGTTTGTATAAATGTCAATGACAAAAATAGGTGGTAGAAAGTTTGGGGTATGTTTTAGGGACAGGTTCATTAGACTTAATGATTGGACGTTTCATTAGTTTCCTAGTTGAGGGAAATCTATTGTTATGTTTAACATCGTTCATTAATAACATCAACTTATGTTGTCAGTGTCAAATCCCACTTGTTTCCAACTAACGTTTTAATCAATCTATCTATCCCCTACTTTATCTTTCTATCTTTCTCGATTAGGATAACCTAAAAATTGAGTCCAATACTTTCAACGTGTTATCTTCATTACCTCGAGTGAAATTGATCTCTCACTTCTCCCCTTTCCACCTTTATTCTGTCGGACGCATTTTTTTTCTCGACCCACTTTTCAATTAAAACGGGAACAACATAAAAAATGTGCTTTAGTTGTAGTACACTCTGTGATTGAAAGTAACCCTATTCTATCTTTTTAGAGTTATACAAAGTGTAACTAAATGTTAAGGTATATTTTATTGATCGTACGTAACAAACGACACGCGTGTACTTCATCAAAATTTTAAACATAGATAGCGTAATAGAACATAAAATGAATTTTGAACATAGAATGTACTAAGTTACAATCATAGTTTGTTACAAAGTTTGATTAAAAATTCGAAACTCTTTTTTTGTTTTGTTTTATAGCCCTTGGCAAAAAGACGAGAACAACGACGAAGAAGCTATCGGCCTCTTCATCATCATCATCATCATCATCATCGCCCTACGGGACTCTTGCAAAAGAAGAAAGGGCTGTCAAGTTGGTGAAAAAGGAGTGAACAATGTTCCAGGAAGAAAGTTCGTGGCATTTCCAGGATTCCGATTATGAGCTAACAAACGGGGTGGTGATTCCGTGCTATTCCAAGAGATAGACCCCTTTTTTCCAAATTATTCTTAAAAAAAAAATTAAAAAAAAGGGATACAAATTTGTGTACGTACGCATGTAGTTGTGAATCGGTGTTTAAAAAATTACGATCGGAAAATATCGGACGGAAGTACCTTGGATCCTGTCTACAGGGATTTACGGCCCATTTCCGGCCCGCCATATTGGCGGCATGGTCCTTTGGGCCAGTATATTATTTCTGCAGGGAGCTGGATTCGCCGGTGAGTTTTCTTTTTTTTTTTTTTCTAACAATTTGATCATCTTATTTAGGTTAGGTTAGAAAATAAATGTTAGATCATTTTGCGTGTGATATTTATCGCAACATTTTGATATTTCCGTGTAAACGTATGTCAAGGAAGGATGATTTAATTTACATCGTATAGATTTACGAGCTGACCCGATAGGTTTTTTTACCCAGTTTCCGTGTACAAGATAGATATATATATATATATTGAGAGAAATCAAAGCAAAAGAGAGAGAGAGATAGAGAAAGGTTTACCACGAACTATACATCAATCTACGTGTAGAACGTTCATTTAACTTACCAAGAACTTGATTTACAAAAACGATTTTCTAAATCCTACGAATCTCCAAACGTTTTCGACATACTAGATAAAATACATTGCATGTTATCGAAATAAATTAGAAAATACGATACCTTACTGTCTTTTAGGTTAACTTTTATTATTAATCATTCTAAAGATAATCTTGTAGACGCTAAAAAGACATTTTGTATTATTTTATTCCACAAATCTTGATATATTATTTAGAAATTCTTTAAATTTTCAATAGATGGTTGCTGTATTACAATTCAATTATTTCACGTTTTTTTTTTCCATTTTAATTGTGGTATTATTTTATAAGATGATTTTATGTCTTATAAAAAAGTAAGAAAATGATGAAATTATTGGATATTTTCTTATATACATCGATCCTCTTCTTATCTTTTTATAGTATAATTATTCAGATAATAATTAAACCGAGAAATAATCGGAATGAAGGTCGTTAATAAAGTACCACGTCATTTCAATTTATTCGATTATTTTTTATCGATTATTATACTAAGTAATAATAGAAAGAAATAAAGAAAAAATTATAAAATATTGTAGTTGTCATTTAATTTTGTTGTTTCGTTTCTTTTTCAAATACATTTGAAACATTTTCTATCGAAATTAATCCAATTACATTTATTTTTTTTTATTTTATTTTTTTTGTACTTTTTGTAGGATCGATAAAAAATACTAACCAACTAGTAGGCTCTAATAGAAGGACAAATGAAGTAGAAATAAATAGACATGTACTAACACACAGGACATTATCTATGTATTGTCCTGGATTGTAGTTGGAGACGATTGATTTCTAAGGTCGTAGAATCGTTAAACAACTATCGTAAACCCAGCAGACTATTCGATCGAAATACCTTATACAAAAGAGAGAGAGAGAGAGAGAGAGAGAGAGAGAGATGATACTCATTAATCCTGATACATACTTGTTTACTGTATATATGTAATACATTGTGCAACTGGGTGGATTTATATTTCCCTAACACGAGTTGCATTTACTTCATTGTTTGATATATCTCAATTTGTCTCTGATTACCTTTGAATATTATAGTCTTCTATTAGATTAATGTACTTAAGTAACACCTATTAGTTTAATCTTAATACAGGTAAAAACAGATCATTATACAATACAACATTTGTTTCTTGTTTTACTGATGCTACTGAATTTTATACAAGATGAACAAAAACAAATGGTTTTTGAAGTTATTTAGTGTTCTAGAAACAAGTATGTTATATTTACAGAAAAATGAAACTTGTTTAGTTAGCATTCAGATAATAAATGAATACAAAATAAACTTTCTTTCTAATTATACTGAATTTTATAGAAAATGAACAAAAACAAATGATCTTCTTGAGTATTTTAGAAACAAGAATGTTATAATTACAGAACAACACAAACTTTCTTTTAAACACTGTATAAAAGGGCTCTTGAAAAAAAAAAAGAAAGTTAACTTTGCAAACATTTCTTTCCTCTTTTGTTTTTTCTTTTATTTATAAAACCTAGTCCAGTTTGTTGCCTATTTTTTTGTTCCTCTTCTCTTTTTCTCTGTTTCTTTTTTAAGCAACCGAGTAGTAGTCAGAGAAAACGAACTTTTCCAATCTTTTTTTTTTTTGTTGCGGGTTCGTGCCCGGTGAAAAAGAAATGGTGAAAAAGAAATGGTGAAAAAGAAATACGAGTTGGAGTTAAAAAGCATTTCGATTAGTATTTGTACAAATGGAATTAGTAAAACGTTTCGGTAGTGTTTTACAAACGTAATTGCTTGTATCACATAGGAACGAATTACACGTTCAGATCTTTTACAGACAAACGTATATTGGAATCCCTTTGCGAACTTAGAGAGAAAGAAGAAAAAAAAATAATCATTTAAAATGATACGAATGACATTTACGTTCTGAAAAATGTTGCATTAATGTAGAAATGATTTGTTTTCATTTATTTATTTGTTTACAGGCTCGATGACGAGCGGTATTCCGGGAGGTCCGGAAAATATAACGGTGATGTTCCTAAACCCGACATCCGTCCGTGTTTCTTGGAGCACCAGCCAGGTTGAACAGGTTGAAAAGTACGATGTTACCTATAAACCGACGGACGCCAGGTGCGTTCCCATTATTTCAATATTTATTATATCTTTTATCAACAAAATCCAACTAACATATCCACCTAATTATTTTCTAAATCTTCCTAATCTCCTTTACAGCACGTGTTATACATTATTTTATTTAAAATGTCATTTGATCATATAAATTACTGATACCAAATTTCATACCAAATTTTGACATACTTTCAAAGTGTTTCTAATATCATTTACAGCATGTAACTGTATATTATTTTATTTAAATTCGTCTAAAAGTAATGTATATAATTAAATTACATATTTATCATTTGATAAAAGCATTGCCATATTTTAAATTAATTAAATGAATTTGTAATTTTTCCAAAATAACAAAAATATAACCTAATTATTTTGAAAGTGTTTCTAATACAATTTACAGCACGTAATTATATATTATTTTATTTATAAATTCATCTAAAAGTTATTTAACAAATTAATACAAAATTTCTATCATATTTTACTACAACAAAAGTGGATTTATACTATTTTCTATAATAAACACGGTTCATAGATTCATTTTTCATTTTCTCATTTACAGTTAAGCAATATTAAACGACTTTAGGCGCTTTCATTTTCTTTTTTTTTTTTGTATAATTTCAAACATGAAACGCGAGATTTACAAAGCTCAATTTTTCTTCCCTCTTCTTCGAGTAATCCCATTCTATCCCTATCCCAATCCTTTATCAGAACCTTCCTTTTCTCTCTCTCTATTTTATACTTTTTTTCGAAGCAATCGTTTAAAACTTTTCTTTTATTTTCTCCCATTTTTTTTTTTTCTTTATTTCAATTCCATCAACGGCCTAAAGCTTCTAATATTCTTTCTCTTTTGTTTCATTTCATCCTCACCCCCTTCGACGAATATTATAAAATTTAATTTTTCATTAATCTTCCGATAGCACGTAATTGTTATTTCACTTGATTGCAAATTAAAAAAGCATTATTTATAGGTTATGTTTGAAAATTCCTATTTCTCGGACAGCAGAACAGAGTGCCGTATTAATTTTCATTGAAATACGTTGCGTGATCTTTTCAATTATTTCAAACATCATTTCAAATTGATAATAACTTTGCGAACGTTATATAATAATATGATATCATGTGACCTTTGATAAAAATGGCTGATCATACATATGTACGGTTTTTTCTTTTTTTTTTTAAATCTATACATTTATTTTGTTTCATCAAATATTTATATGGCGAATAAAAAACGAAAAACAAGGAAAATTGTATAATTTGTATTTGTATTAATACATATATATAACTAGGGGTGCCCTGTCACGCGTTGCTGTGGCTCACAATCAGTCCGATACACACGTCTTTAAGTCAATTGCGATTATAAATTAAAATATAAACTATCCCCTATCTTTCAAGTTGGATAAAAGTGCACAGAGTGTGCAAAATTTTATTCAAATCGGTTCAGTAGTTTACGAGTCCATTGCGGACAAACTACCTGACACGTTATTTATATATATTAAGAAGATAAATATTTGCTTACTACATCATTTCAAATGAATTTGATTTAAATGATTTTATTAAATAAATATATTTATATATTAATTAAATGATGTACGTTGAAATAATTGATTGAAATTCAATTAGTTTAGTTGAAAAAATGAGTCAATGTAAAATATAAAATTGGAATGACAACGACAAGGCGTTAGTTACAGGGTGGTGGCGGTGGTCGCAGGAAATAGCGAAGCAGTAACCCTAAGTGGTCTAAGGGCTGACACGCAGTATCAACTAATAGTCACTGCCGTTAGAGCTGGCAGAAAGTATAAAAGTCGACCAATCGTCTTCCGCACGCTCGGTAAGTTATTATTATACCTTTCCTATTTTACCTTTTTTCTTTTGGGTTTCGTTTTTCTTCTTCCTTTTTGCTGTTACTGCTACTGCTGATGCATTCACCATCATCCCCCTTGTAACATTTTACGTGGAATATTTTACGCCTGATTATCGACCGACTTATACTACTTGTAATTCAACTCAATTCTTTCATAAATTATATAACGTAACTATCTTACAACTTGGAAGAAACGTTGCCAGTTTCAAAATGCCCCAAGAATAATGTTTCCACTTATACGTCAAAAAATGTCTACAGTTTTCATTTATTTTAACGTCATTTGGGATTAGGTAAATATTTTTAATAAATCATCATCCACACAGTATTAATTTTAACACTTATTATATCTGGATTTTGTTTTGCAACTGCAACACCCATTGCAATCACTTTCAAAATCTTGTAAGTTTGGTTGATGATAAGTCTGTTGATCATTTACACCTAAATTAAATCAAAAGTTAAGTTTTCTAACTGAAGACACATTTGTATCCGAATGTTTGTTTAGTTTGCATCAAGATTTTTGTTTCTACCAAATGCAGAATTTCATCAGAATTACTTTGTAACTTTGCTGAGTCCTTAGGAAATCTTATTTCAAGTGACACCTGACGTTAAAATACAGTACAACAGTTCTGGCAAAGTTTGAAATAGTTGGCAAAACAAATGTATAAACTATACAATAAAGCAATAAAGGTTGCAAGGAGAATATTAAAAATGTTTCAACTTTCAATCGGATGCCATTAAAGTTAACGTTTTATTCAGAATTCTTTGTTCTTCTCCTATTGGCCTTTGCTCTTTAGAAAAGAACATCTGTCACATACGTATTTCGTTGAATAATACATTTCTACTTCCCCCAGATATCGTTTACTTTCTGTATAACCATTAATTTTTTATTGATTTTATTCAATTGATGTATATACATAATTATGTTATTGACATATGCATAAATATTACAATTATATGACAAATACAATTGCAAATATGAAATATCACAAATCATAAATCAAAAATAAGCGATTACGCGCCATCTACAACCAAATTAGAAAAATTCAAATTAGGTTAGAATCAAAATAAGAAAACTAGCTGTAAATTGAAACTTGTTTTAAACACAGATACTTTTAATATAATCAAATAATCTTAACTCTACATATATATATATATATACATAATACTTTAGTGAACAATTTACAGTATTAAGAATGAAGGAGAAAAAACAAATAATGGCGGAGAGTTTGAACTACTTCAATCATTTTGTTACTTTTTGTTGTTGTTGTTGTATTTAACTGTAGATTAAATTGAGGATAATATTTATCTGCGGGAAGCTTTTTATTCATTAATTAATCGAAAAAAACCTTGATCGAAGATTTAATCAAGGTGAGGATTTTTACTGGATTTATCGACAGAACGCTTGATTGGACGGCCTTAATAGAACGTCCTCGCGATACATAATACGTTGCACATCAATTCCTCCAGGGATGGGAAGAGAATACTTGCTTTCGTAACCAATATTAAAAGCACCTACCTATACCTATCTACATGTACACACACACACACATATATATATATAAAGAGAGAGAGAGAGAGAGAAATATATTGTCAGAGAAAATCGATATTTCAACTGTCCCGCAGAGTGACCAAAATGCTCATATTTCAAAACACCCCATCATTTGTCTCTCCCAACAAAATTTTTCTTTTTTCTTTTTAAATTATATTCATATATTAGGGTTGAATCAAACGTTTTTGCTCTTACTTTATTATTCATTGTTTTTTTTTTTTTGAAAGTATTATCCATAACCATATGCGTTTTTGTGTGCGATAAACAAATTTGTGTAACTTATCAATTTTATTTGATTAAATTATTCGACAATTTTCTATAAAACGGTTATAGATACCAATAGAAGAAGGTTATCCAAGCAAGTAAATCACACACAAACACTATACTAATTCGTATAACAAGTGTGATATATTCCACGATGATGGTAGTAGTAGGGTGTATATGCACTTTAAATGAACATATGTTTTATATGTTACCACATGTTAACACTATTTTATAAAAAATGAACACACCGTATGATGTTCTCTAACATAATAGGTTTTACATAGTAGACTATAACGTGTAAATATATACACAGTGTCCTATTTCAAATATTAGATTATTCAATTTTGATTTCTAAAAAGAAACACGTTCAATATTGATATTTTCTTAAACGTTCAGAAAAATCACAAATCCTCAAAAAAAAAAAAAGAAACAGATTCAAATATCACATATTTAATGAGGAAAAAAATTATTTAGGTTCTGTAAATATTCAACAGATGGCTCTGTATTACCATTCAATTATTTCACGTTTTTTTTCAGGTTTCCATATGACACAACTAGCCTTGTTTTTTTTTATATACTTAAATATAAATTAAAAAAATTATATATAAAAAAAAAATACTAAAGTCACATTGTAGTCCTGAATTTTTCATGGAAAATATTTTATTTAAAAAAGAAAAACAAAGTTGACCAATAGATCTAAGAAAAAAAAAAGAAAATACTAAAGTAACATAGTACATAGTCCTGAATTTTTCAAATAATACTTTCGATGCTATTTACGTTGCAAGAGCTGATGAATCACCCTGTATTTATAATATTTATACAATTCATAATTGATTTTATAATAAAGGACACTGTTTATATTATCCAACGAATATGATACTAAGATATATTATGCATTTGTTGCCTTAGAACCTCCGAGAACGTTTCCTCAGCAGGATGCAGCAGTAACAAATGGACCACTTCCACCATCTCCGCCGGCTTCTCAACCTCAACCTTACATACAAGTATGAAACATGGTTTTAGCAGGGGGTTGGTTTTGTTCAGTGGGAAAAGAGAGATAAGATATTAGGATAAATCAAAAGTTTCATGCATTTGAAATAGTACAATTTTCTTCATATACGAGGAGTATGAATATTTCAAATTATCAAATGTATATAAAACGAAGCTGTTAAAGAAGAAGCTTTTTTTCTTTTTTCGTATATTTCAGATACGAGGGGTAGAAGTTGGTATAGTTATACTGGTGTTGATTGTATGGGCTGGTGCTATAGCACTGTTCTTCAATCGTTGGGGTAAAATTCGCATGTTGTTGCCGTATCAACCGGATTACAAGGAACAATTGAAAGTTCCTGGTACCGGAGTTTGTACGACGACCAATACAGCGTATCCTCAACATTCCAGTCAACACACCTGTTCCCAGGTAACGCATTTTACTATCTTTTATTTTATCCAATTTATTTATTTTATATTCCTCTTTTATTTCTCTCTCAAATAATACAAATAATATTTTCGATCCTGGAAAGTTCTGTTCTGTTCGATAATATCATCCCCATTTTGTCTGTTCAAATGACTGGTTTTTTTTTTGTTTTCTTTTACAATGATATTTGATTCAGTGAAATTCGTTACAATTTTGATTTATTTCAATTGACAAAACGAACAGAATTTTCCTGATATATTTTAATATATATATGAAATTTAGTAAACAATTGTTTTACAATTATAATTATAAAAAGTTACCTAAACCATAAGTTCAAATATTTTGTTATTTTTTTGTTATTTTAAAATGATAACACCAAACTAATTCAATATAAGATAAATTGTTATTGACGAGTATACACGTCAGATTAATATTCCTAATGATCGATTCATTCATTTGTTCGTTGAATAAAGTAGATGATTAAAATTTAACGAATGAAATTATTTATCGATAGTAAACGTAAATGACGCTGCAATATTGAATCATTGTCAGATATATTAACGCAATTTACGATTGCAAATAATATTTGTGAATATAATTACATGCATAAAATTTCTAACGATGAAATAATAATAATAATCATCATCATCAAACAAGTAATAACATTTTCTTTCTTCTACATTTCAATATTGATCGATAAATTATTATTATTATTATAATTATCATTTTTCCATTAAGTTATGTTCAATTTCGAAACAACGTCATTGTCGTATTACACTCTCGGACGTGTAATTAAACGATGCAAAAAAAAACAAAAAAAAAAAGAAATTCTTCAAAGAATAGAAAGCTGCTCGTTTGGATTAAAGGGAAGGGGGGGGGAGGTTTCTACCCCGTTCTGGGGGTGGGTGTGGAAAATAATTCCATTGTTGAAAAATGTCATGGTTTTTCTTTCTTTCTCTTTCTCTCTCTTTCTCGGTAATTTGAACAAACGTTTTATACAATTTTTCCTTTTTTGTTTACTTTCTTTTTTTTTTTGTTTGTTCATTTAATTCAATACGAAATTATCGATAAAAATTGAGCGTGAAAAAAAATGACATGGAATCCTCGGTAATTGTGTTCACGTATTTTAATTAAATGCAATTGTTTTTAACTGAAATGATAGATAAAAAAAAAAAATAAAATAAATATGAATGCAAATGATGCAATAATTGTTTTAAATCTTGTCACATGAATAATTCTATTTAACGAACAAAACCACTAATTTTTTTTTTTATTAGAATTTGTTTAAATATTAGAGTGAACCAAAATTTCGTGCAATTTTACCAAAAAAAAGAAAAAAGCAGTTCACATTTCAAAGTACAGTTTCAACGCAATAAAACTCTACGAACTTTTGGTTCAGTCAAATAATAATATGAATCGTACAATTAATAAACTATTGCGTAGAAAACATTTTAGTTGTATTTATTAATTAATTAAAAGGTTAAAAAATATGTGAGTTTAAATACGGTGATTAGATTCGTCGTCAATAGATCGGGAAAAGATATTCGATTAAATTCAAATGGACACCCTTGGAGATGAGTTTATTCGTTTATTAGAAGAAAAATGAGATTTGGTGATACTCAAACTAAATACCCCAGGACCGTAATCAATGATAACCCGGTTTTCTTATTCTGATAGCGAATCATAATGAATTATTCAGCGACCTCAATTGCACAATACTCAGAAACCTTATAAAACTTTGAAGAGACTGTCCAACTCGGTCGGGGGAAAAACAGTAAAAATAGATGACAAATAGATCGCCTTGATAGAAACATATTAGATTGATTACAAAAAGATATCGTTAACAATTATCCTTTGACAATTTCTTGAAAAAAAAAAAAAAAGAAAAAAAAACCAATAACTTAATTTCAATGGAAAATACATTTATTACTCTTTCCATTTTTATAATTTGATACATCATAATTATTGAGTTCATTTATTAACACCTAACCTAACGTAATAATAAAAATATGTAATATACATAACTAATATAATTGTCATCGTCATTTATGACTTCTTGACAACATAATTGCTAATTTGTATAATCACATTTTCTTAAACTTCCTTATCCCTAGCAGCAAAAAGTTGAACCCAGTGTTTGTTTGAACGGACAGAACTTTTTGGCAGACCTAACCTAACTTAATAATTAAATAAAATATTACAATGTATACAAAATTACAAATATGTTGATTTTGAATGACTCTGCTTCAAGTTCCGTCAAAACAAACCATTCGTAAATTGAAATAATACTAAAAAAGTATTAATTTAAATTCTAAAAGAATTGATGATTAAGAAAATTTGTTGCTGAGCTAAATTTCGGCTTAGAAATATTGTTTCTTTTTATTTAATATTATTCTACCTCTTATCGCATATATATTTCAGCGAGATAATCACGAATGAGTATCGCTTGAGGCAGTAAATAATAATTTATCCCATTAATTATCGAGAACTTAACGTCGAAGCAGCTTTTGCATGTGCTTCCAAGTTAGAATTATAGTTGAAAAGGGGACATTTTAATACTTACAGAAGATACATATGTATATCTATACCTTTTATAAATGAAGGTTCAATTTATATATTCTCTTAAACGTAACCCACAAAAGCGATACAAGCTTTATCTCCTTAATTATATTTCCATAAATTTGCATATATTTTTCTTCTCTCCTTACTTCTTCTCCCCACTCCTTCATCCCAACCCCCCACCACCATCTTCTTATTCCTCCCCACCACCACTATTCTCTCCTTCATGCATATCCCTATCGAGAAAGTGAATTTATAGAGAAAATATAAAATAGAAATATAAAAGTTACGTTAGTGTGAAAGAGTTTATAAAATTTTTGTACGTTTCTACTATTGCAATTTCTTTTTGAAACTTGAAAAAAGAATGTGTCGCTTTCGATTTTGCGTTAGGGACAACATGAATCATGCGTATCACACCTATATATATATATATATATATATATATATTTATATGTATTTTTTTTAAATTCCTCCCAACAAAACAAATCGAATCCTAAAAACAGGTTTTTTCAATTATGTTTTTCTTTTTTTCCTTCCTTCTTTCTCTGTTCGAGTAACAAAAAGAAAAAGAAAAAAAGAAATAGACAAAGATAATATGGCGTGAAATTAATTTAACGAGATGAAATAATGAAAATAATTAGCATTAATAGAATCTAATCTCTGTCTGTTTCCTCTCGCCTTCGAAATCGAACTTCTTCTTCTTCTTCTTCTTCTTCTTTTGGATACGACATATCAATATCGTTCGACCCCTTCTTCTTCTTCTTCTTCTTCTTCGATGTTTCACGCGCCATGCAATCTACAATTTTCAACGGACTATTTTTTTTTTTCGACGTACACGCATCCACACACACATATATATATATATATACACTTATACTTACTCAATTATACTTATTTTCATATAAAAATTTACTATATATACGTACATTACACGAACATAACCTTTAACATAATTGAACTTACACACAAAACATACACACATATTATATTTTATATGCAAATTTGCTACGTATATTACACATACATAACCTATAACATAATTGGACTTGCACACTTCCAACATACATAAAACATTACGTAACACTATGTAACGTAACGCAACGCAACGCAACGCAACGTAACGCGAAACGATCAAGATAATGACAACGTTGTCGGACATGATGATGCAGTGCGGGGGTGGAAGCTGCTGCGTCTTGGAACAGTGCTTTCAGTATCCTAGAAGAACAAGAGAACCTCGGGACTGTGGATGCCAATTTGCTCTTCTACATAGAGCGGATATCTCTGCTTGACCATCGGTACTTGTAATAACAAAACTAAGAACAAAAATAAACAAAAAAAAAAAAATAAGAACAATTATATACCAAAAGAATATCAATATCTTTCGTTATCTTTTTGTCCTTTTTTTTTTTATTTCATTTTTCTTCAACCTATTATTATTATTATTATTATTATTATTATTATTATTAATATTGGTAGGATTCAATTTGCAAAAAAGCACAAAATATTTTTTTTTGCTTCTTTTCTTTTGATTAAGTTTTTGTTGTTGTTGTTGTTGTTGTTAATTATTTATCTATTTGTCTCTGTGTGTTATAAATCATCGTTCGTGTGTTTTTCACTCGTTTTTTGTGCAATTTTATTTTTTTTTTCCTAACCTAAAAGTTCGTGTTACCTTTCTCGTTTCATTTCTTTTTTTGTTTTCTCCCCTTTTTCTTTATTTCTTTCTTTATTTCTTTTGACGTGTCAGCAAACACCTCGATTGCTTCTACTTTCTCACGAAAATATGAGAAAGTGCCTACTAATTGTCTCCGCCCTTTCTTTTTTTTTTTCTTTTTTTTTCTTTTCTTTTTTGTTTGCCACTTGCCTATTTTCTCATTCTCTTTTCTCATTTTTTGTTTTTTTTGTTCCTAAACTTTCTTCCATTGACTTGCCAATTAATAATCAGTATTAAACGACTCGTGGTTGTTAAGAAAAATAAAAAGTAAAATAAGAAAAATAATAATAAAAAAAAAAACAAAAAAAAGGAAATTAATAATAGGATGAGAAAGAAAAATCTTAGAGATAAATTAAAAGGCATGTTTTTCTTTTGACGCTACGCGTGTTTCCTTTTTCATTTTCTTTTTCTTTTTCTTTTTGTTTTACTCTTCGTTTCATTTAATTAACTATTTTTTTTTTTTTTAACGTTACGTAAAAAGAACGATCGATATTTCATTTAATCCTTCGCAAAGCTCGTACATTTTTTTCTGTCTTTTTTTTTTTCTTTTCTTTCCATTAAATTTTCCATTTTTCTTTTGTCCATACTATTGTATTTTTATATACCAAGTTTTATTAATAATAATAATAATAATAATAATAATAATAATAATAATAATAAATCTTCACGAAGATCAATACTTTCCTTTGATTATTATTTTTCTTTACAGTTTGATTTTTTTCATTATAATTGTTTTTTTTTTTTTTATTTACAATTAAATAACAAAGTTAAAATTAAAAAATTCACTGTGTTTCAATTTTTAATTTAAATATTTGGTCGCGAATTTGCACAAAAGGGAAATGTCATATAATCAACATAAAATACAATATAAAAAATTAAAATTTCTTTATCAAAATTATCAAACTCATTAGCAAAATTTGAGATTTGATTTTGTGAATGCAATATACACACACATATATATATATATGTCTGCCATTGAAATGATGGGAACGATGCCAAAAAAGTTTAGAAAATAATTCGTAATACAAGTTGGTGAATAAATTTACATGATAAAATCGTCCGATAAGACTGTGGTGATCACCCCGCGTGCTCGTTATCGTTAACATTTGAATATAATTATTTATGTATTATATTGTTTATATCATCTATATATATATATATAATAAACCAAAGAGAAGAGAAAATATACACACACACAAGCGCGCGAGTGAGAGCATCATATACACACAAAAAGCAATCTTTGTCCGTTTGAATTTTCGCTTATGCTGATAACACCGGCTTATTTTTTAATGACGTCACGCTAAAATTCATCAACGATAGACGTTGTGGATTGCACATTGCTAATTTTAGATCATCGCACAAGGTGAATTATTATATCAGAAACAACCCCTTTACCACCCCGTATGTAGGAATACTCGGGGGTATTTGAATATATAAATACTTTGATGATGTCACGCTTCTAAGCACACACACACACACACACACCTACATATGCATATTATATTTATGTATCTGTAAAGACACGCAGAGAAACAAAAAATTGCACCAACAAATTTGTGTGTTGCGCCGTGATTCCCCCACTCCCGTCTTCTTCCCCTTCCCCTTGTCCTCTTAATCGTTCAAATTTTTATCCAATCAACGAACGAAACGTTGCAGCTTTTTTTTATACATGTTTTTCTATTCCAAGAACCACCAGTTTTCCAATCAAATACAAAATGTCATTTTGTTAGACCAAAAATCCCCTTAATGAATAAATAATTAAAAAAAATATAAGCATGACAAACATGAAAACGTTTTGTTCGTTCTATTTGAATTGAATAAATACAAAATCTAATCTAATTGAATTAATTGTAATGTAATGAAATGAACATTTGCAGCATCAGCACTGGTCGAGCCATCATGTGGACTCCTTGGACAGTGGCAGTGGTTTAGGTTGGCCAAGACCCACAAGACCACGTGTCAATAGTGCCATTGATGTCGCTGGCTTCCTATCACAGGTTTGTAATCCCATTTAAAATGATTCAATCTTAACTTATCCTCTTCTATTGACAATAAATCCGGATTTAAACGAGCTTCAAACCATTTCCAACTTTAATCTAACCCATTAGATCATTAATACTAATTTATTCAACTTTTTGTTATTTCGTGTGATTATTTTTCATTTTTTTTTTATTGCTCACTTAAGGATTTATTATTCAGAGATTATCCAAATCCTCTAGGTTCTTGGTTAGCTTTCAATAGATGGCACTGTATTACAATTCAATTATTTCACGTTTTTTTTTTTCAGGTTTCCATATGACACAACTAACCTTGCTTTTTATATTATTTTCGTGTATTATTATTTTATGTGTTTCATTTTAATTTTGGGATTATTTTGCACGTTATAATTTACTATAAAATTAGGTGCCTCCTGGGCTACGAGTTATTGTGGTTTTGTTATAATACTTTGATTCAATATAATACTAAACTATTCGCTTATAATTTCCGAGAGTTGAAACAAAGTACAAAACAACATCAAATGTTTCATGTTGTATTTTATCGATCTGTATTTCAGTATTGTATATTGCATGAATTATTTAGAAAATTGTAAATTAAAACAATTATTAATTTTAATTGAATCAAGCGATAATAACCGGTGTCCAAAAGGGGAAACACGTGATTTTTTCGAAATAAAAAAAGAAAAGATCGATAAAGTAAATTGTGTGTTGTTGTTTATTTTATTTGTTTGTTCTTTCTTTTACCCCTCTTAATTTTTATCTTGTTTTTTATCTTGATGATTATACGAAAAGATTACGATCTAAAGTTTCCCATCGGATAACGTTAAATGGATTATTCGATCTTATCAAAGGTTTAAGGGAAGAATTTTTCGATAAACTTCCATAAAAGTGTATTTGCAAAGAGACAACTAACAGTGTGTTTCTAATGGGACAGTTATTTAAATAAATGATAGATACGAAGGAGACCGCGTAGAAGGAATACCTCAAAAGTCGAACGTCAAAGTTCAAGGTAACTCACCCACTATTGAAGTAAAGTTCCTCCTCTTCGTCACAGTGTGATCGATACTTTGCCGGTTTAACTTGTTTTACAAACAAAACAAAAAAAATTAAATAAAAAACAAGTACAAACAACAAAGCAAAGAAAAGCAAAGCAAGGTTGACTTATTAACTTACTTTCGAGGTCATTCCAAATTTCTTTAAAATATTTAATAGAAAGAAAAAAGAAAAAGATTAATATTGGGTTCCTTTTATTTTGTTTTTGTGTTTTATTATCTAAAGGAATTCCTACGACGACATGGGTCCACGTCAAAATTATGTCGAAAGGTTCGCAGTGCCGATAATTTGCCATTGGCTTCGGTCAATCGGCAAACTCATCAACGAAAAAGTTCCAGAAGCGAGGGAAACGAAGCTGATCGCGAATCTTTCTTGAAACCAAATCAAGAGGATCAAGAAAGATATGAAATTGCTAGTCCAAAAAGACAAGGTAGTCCTGAAAGTGGTTCAAAGGATTTAACCGAGACATCCTTGTTGGACTCCAATTATCCACAATCGTCTTCGAGGTAAATACATTTCTCTACATTTATCAAATCAACCTAAAATTAGGACACAAACTCATAAATGAAGATACTCAACTTGTTACATGTTTTACAAACGATTTACAGTGAATCATATTTTTTGATACCGTTTATCAGCAACAATAAAACCACTCGAAACTGTTAAAACCTAATAAATAATAAATATATTTACAGGGACTCGCCAGTACCACCTACAACATCGTTGGTAGCAAAACGATTCAGTGGGTGGCGAGTAGCAAGTAGTCACGATTACGTTAAATGTCCCATTCAACAACCAGCTTCTATGGACGAACGGTAAGAACAATCCCAAAATAATAATACTATCACATCCATCAATGATTAGAAAAACAAAAGTCAAGATATATCAAAGCTTTTTTTATCTAGCAACAAAATTGTAATAAAAAAACACCAAAAGAAAAATAGGAAATACGAGTGAAGAGGGTGTCCAATCAATATTTTGTTTAAATAATCAATAAATTTCCATGGGGAAAACAAAAATCTTCCCAAAATCATATTTTATTTTGATTTCAATGCAAAGTCACAATCACAAAGCAGATCAATATTTGTTTGAAGTATACTTTGTGATGAGATTATTGCAACTACTTGAAAAATCGATTGAAAAGAGTTATATACTACAGGACACCGTATATATATTGAAAGAAAGAAGAAAGGAAAAAAAGAAAATAAATATAAATTGCAGGTGTTATAGAAGATCGTACGAGCCAGATAGTGGTTTTATGTCTCGACATCATCATCATCGGCATCACCATCATCATCGTTTAGATGGTGAACATTATTCAAAGAGTTACGATTATTCAAAACGTACACCGGAATCTAGCATAGACGTTAAACACTTTGGATTACCGATTTTGAGCGTGAGCGAACCAAGCCCACCAGATGAGGATGGTAGGGTCGACGATTATTTGTAGAATTTGCTTGCCGAGGATTTCCTTAAGGAACTCCTCGTATGATACAAATAATTACCATATCCCTTTATATTTTTCATCTATTTGATCTATCTCTATCTCTATCTCTATAATATCTTCCTTTCTCCGTGTATTTTTCCTATATACATATACATATATATATATATCTACCATAAGTGAGCAACCTGTTGTTAAAACAAACATCCGCATTAAACCACGCGAATAGAATTATCGATTCAAACTGATTCGCATTATCTATGATATTAATAAATCCATGCAATGTTTCATTTCATTCGAATTAGAACAATGCTAAATCCATGGATGCAATGTTTCATTTACAATCAAAT